TTAACCTCTAGCCTACTGGAAACTTATACCCCCTTCCCGCCCAGGCCAATTTCCAGCTTTCAGCGATGCCGCATTTTTGAATGACAATTGGTCATACAACATTGTACCCATATGAAATTTTTATCATTTTTTTTGTGACCGATAGAGCTATTTTGGTGGTATTTAATAAACTCTGGGTTTTTTATTTTTTCTTAAACAAACCAAAAGCCACTGAAAATTTTGAAAAAAAAAATTTTTTCTTAGTTTTTGTTATAACATTTTGTAAATAAGTGATTTTTCTCCTTCAATGATATGCGCTAATGAGGCTGCACGAATAGGCTGCACGAATAGGGCTGCACTGACTCACACTGATAGGTGGCACCTGATGGGCACTGATGAGGAGGCACTGGTAGGTGGCACTGATGGGCATTGACAGGCATCAGTGATGGGTACTGAAAGGCAGCAGCACTGATACGTGGCACTGATATATGGGACTGATAGGCAGCACTGATAGGCAGCACTGACTGGCACTGATAGGCGGCACTGACTGGCACTGATAGGTGGCACTGACTGACACTGATAGGTGGCACTGATAGGCGGCACTGACTGACACTGATAGGCAGCACAGACAGGCATGTACATGAGCCTACCCTGACCGTCGGCTGCAGGAAAAGCAAATCACGGCAAAATCACGGTACCATGGTTGCCATGTTTTGCTGCGTTTTCCCCGCATTTTGCATTTTCCCCCGCAGTCAGCGGTCAAAACATTCCTATCCTGAACGTGATTCTTTCACATTCAGGAGAGGGAGGTTTAACCTCACCTAAACGCAGCAGTTCCTAAACTCTGGTGAAAGACTATGTGTACATGGACACATAAGCTTTTATGGAGCTGAGTTTAGGAGCTTTGGTAAAAAATGCCAAAAGCTCCTAAAAAAACTCATGTTTAGGAGCTGCTTGTGTATATGAAGCCGCTGCTTTCTAGAATAGAATAGAAAACAATAGAAAATAAAAGAATAGAAAGGAATAGAATAGAATAGAAAACAAAGAATAATAGAATAGAAAAAAATAGATTAGAAATAAAAGAATAGAATAGAAAACAAGAAAAATAGAATGGAATGGGAATATGAAGTGGGTTTTGGGTATTTTGGGTATTTATTTGATAGGCATATTTGATTCTTAAATAATAATAGTTGTTTCTTTTAACAATTTTTAAATTTTACTTTCATTTGGTATAAGTTGGATATGTGGGGCGTATATACTTTTTATAGCAGTGATCTTTTAAGAGAAAATCAGCAAAAATAAATAAATAGTCAACTTCATCAATACCTTTCAGGAAATTGTTTAAGCATGGTATAAAAAAATAACACAGCTCTTCTGTATTTATGTATAATCGCAAAAAAATGATTTGTGTATTTTGTAAGTCACTACTAAATGGGTGGTGTGCATTCCTTTGTATGCTGTGGAACCGCCTTTGTTAAACATAATGTTTTTTCTTCTGTTTTATTAGACTGCTCCTTGTAGCTGACGTGGCTCTGCAGGATATCATCAGGACTGGAAATCCGGGACCTTAGCAAGCCAGTTTATTGAAGTGCATTGTGATCAGCTACAGCTTCTGAATACCAAAGATGAACTACTGATTACAACAGCATTTGCCTTAGGACTCATGCACACAGATGTGAAAACCGCTTTTTTGTAATGAATCTGAATCCCAGTGTATACAGTAGTTTTCTATAGACGCTGATGCATAAAGATCAGTAAACTTGTGATGTGTTCAGAAATGCAAAAACATACAGAAAATTCTGCATTCCAACATCCTGAACGTAGCACTATATCCTCAGGAGTTGCTGAAGTGTTGGGTCCCCCTATAGTCCTGCACAGCCAGGCAACATGCATTTTTCACAGACTTGCATTCTGGAGGCAGTAAACAGTCCTTGAGTTTGTTTTTTTTTTTTAATTAGGTGTATTGAACTTGGATGGGGTAAGGGGTGCATGGGATGCCCAAGGAACAGCAATTTGAGGAACAATTCCTGGCAACTATGTATGAGCCCAAGATAGGAAATTCTCTTCTCGTAGAGCTCTTCAGTCTCTCCTGGTGTTCCACCCCAAACCCCAGATAAATCCTCTTCTTTGCCCAGCTGTCTGGAGGAATCCCTGTGCAAGGGGATCCAGTGCCTGCCACTGTAAGTTAAACAGTCCTGAGTAAGGAGCTAGTCAGGTTTCCACCAGAATGCTCTTTCCCTTTAACTGGCCCAGGGCATGTAGGATTAATTACTCAGTCTTTGCCTGTGAGCTGGTTTGGTTGGTGGCTGCCTTCAGGCTTTTTGCGGTACTGACTCCTTTCTTGGCCCACAGGTGGTCCTCCCTCTGGGGGACTGATGAGGCTGAGTGATCCTCCTTTCCTGTAGGCAGGCCCCTTCTCATTGGGCCTCCTCTCAGGCTCTTGTATCTCGATCTTCCTCACATCTTTCACCCAAACTCTACCACCGCTGAGCAGGCTCAGTCACAATTAAAGGCTGTCCAGACCCCATGCCAAGTCTCCTGCTTGAGGATTGGCCAAAGTCCTCTGAATGTGCAGGCCAGCTCCTCCTCACCCCTATCCACTGCTTCCAGAATCTTCTCCAAGATTATAGAGCAGAGTAAGGTATCAAGGAACTGACCTGCAGAGCCTCTCAGCCCTGACACAAATTTGACCCTGCTGGCTATTTCCCCAGCCTGCTACTCAGCCTTTCTATCTAAAAAGTTATAACTGGCACCCCCCTGGCTATCTAGAGGGGCGCTGCATGAAAATTGATTAAAATGTATGTTGCAGTCATGTAAACATTGCGTACAGCACAAAGGCACTCTATTGGAGCCACTTGTATCATCTGTATATAGCAACAAAAGGCCATTTTTGCTGTAATGTTGTATGCATGTAAATGTTGCTCAAACATTACATGTGTACAGTGCACAGGGTCACTTTTATGCAGGATCTTGCTGCCAGCTTCTGCCAACAAGATCCTGCGTGCTAGCTGCCATATTTTCACAAAGCTGTGTGAATGTACCTTAAAGTGGAACTTCACTCTCTCAACCAGCATTGACTATTTTGAATCCTTATGCTGCTAGTATTAGTAATTAGATATGAATGTCCTATTTACTTGTTTTAAACTGTTTTTTACATTTCTTTAGTTATTTCCTGGTTTCCAGGCCTAGGCAAATGATGTCATACATCACAGGAGTTTTCAGGGGGGAGGAGGGGTTTCTTCAGCTAAGCACGCCCTTCTACCTGCATGACTGAGCTAAGGGCAAATGGATCCCAGGAAGTAAATACTACATGAATCATCTCCCCTTTTCAAAGTCATATGTCAGCAAAATAAAGCATGGAGACATGGATGGATGGGTGAGTTTGCTTTGAATATTAAAAATGAATTCATTAGCGCTTTTGGCTTGTGGTGCTCGGATACAGCGTAGTTCTGCTTTAAATATAAAAATACAATATTCAGGTCTTGTTCTCACTAGTACGATTTCAGATGTGGACTTGAGTCGCAGAGAATCGCATGACAATGGAAGTCACAAATTTTTTCAATGTTGTCCATTCACATCAATGCGACTCAGCACTGATTAATTTTTCAAAAGGTTCCTGTACTACTTTGGCGTGATTCCATTGCAATTTTGGCTCCATAAAATATACAAACCTTATCAAAGGTTGCATCCAAGTTACATCCACGTAGCACTACCTAATTGCACTGAAAATCGTAACAAAATCATATCGCAGAAGTGTGAACCTAGCCTAAAAAATAACTAAAACACATAATTTTTTTTTTAGTTTAAATGTGGCTTAATAGGTCATAGTGCTTTATTAAGGTGTGTCCAAGATAAAACTGACCAATGACCAAGCTCTAGCTTAGATAGCCAAAGATATAATTTATTCATCAAGCTTTACTCTGGACAATAATTCCCACTTCCCCCATCTGTTGATGGATGAAAAACTGACATCAATGTATCTCTATGGAAAAATGGATGTAAACAGATGATCATTCGTTTACATCCATATCTGTCAACATCCGTTTTTTGAAATGTATCAAAGCCCTATTTTTCTTCTGTTAATAAAACAGAACGAATGTAAAAAAAATGGATGTAAACAGACAAATGGTTAGTTTTTTGCATTGGTAGTACATGTAAAAAAACTGCTGTAAAAGCTGATGAGAAACTGATGCAAAATTGATGTAAACTTAATCTGTTTTTTCTTTGAAAAAACAAGACCATGTGAATGGGGCCTTAACCACTTGCCTACTGGGCACTGTTACCCCCTTCCTGAACAGGCCAACTTTTAGCTTTCAATGCTGTTGCAACTTGAATTACAATTGTGCGGTCCTGTAACACTGTACCAATATAAAATTTTTATATTTTTTTTCATGCAAATAGAGCTTTCTTTTGGTGGTATTTAATCACCACTGGGGTGTTTTTTTTTTTTTTTGCTAAATTAAATGAAAAATAAAACTGACAATTTTGAAATAAACCCTCCAAAACATTTAATTTAGTTTCTATTACAAAATTTTGCAAATAGTTAATTTTTCTCCTTCACTGATGTGCGTTGATGAGGCTGCACTGATAGGCAGTACTGATGGGCATTGATAGGCTGCACTGATGAGGCTGCACTCATGAGGTGGCACTGGTGGGCATTGATGGGGAGGCACTGATATGCAGCACAAATGGGCACTGATAGGCGACAACAATGGGCACTGATTGGCACTAAAGGGTACTAATAGGCAGCACTGAAGAGTACTGATAGGTGGCACTGACTGGCAGCACTGACAGCACTTATGGGCACTGACTGGCAGCACTGCTGGGCACTTATTGGTAGCACTGCAGGGCACTGATTGGCAGAATTGATAGACCCAATTGACTTTATTAGACTGAACTAATGGGCACTGTTGGGGATGCACTGATAATCAGGACACTGATAATCAGTGCCCTGATTATCAGTGTAGATGTCTCCTTTCACACTTGTTGGCAGTACTTTCATCTTGCTGTGACAGCATGAGGAAAGTACTGCAGATTACCAACAAGTGGTTTTACATCGTGATCAGCTGTGATTGGACACAGCTGATCATGTGGTAAAGGGCTGCTGTGATTGGCCCTTTACCTTGATATGTGATCAGCTGTGTCCAAAGGACACAGCTATCACAGAGTGACCGGTGTGCACGGATCAACTTCTGTACAATCACCCTACCGGATTTGACCAGGCTTGAAACGCTGATCAGTGTATTCTGATGGCAGGGAAGTCTCCACACTGTGATAATACAATAGCTGAGTGGGGAGGAATCCCTCATCCACCTCAAATGTGTGAATGGGAAAACCAGTTCAGTTTTTTTTGGATGAACCCACTGGTTGAACAAAGAAAAAAAAAAACTGACTCCTTTATGGGCCGCTTTAGATACTTAAAAAGTAATGCAGTCTTACCAAGCTATACGCCAAAAGATACAATAAACCTTTTTCTAGTTTTGTATAGACGGGGAATATATTAAAACCATTGTCAGATTTTAATTTCTGTCCCTATCCCTGTCCCTTTTGGGGAGATCTCCCATCACATCACTGTCAATAGATCTTTATTAAATGTTCATGAATAGGTTTCAATACAATTACAGAGATTAACATACATGGACATTTGACACAAAAGACCTGTTATACAAGACCACATGCATGTCTTATGGAATGACAAGTATGCACACAAGGAAGCCATG